GACTTTCGGGAGACACTGCAGGGTTGCGGGGAGCAGGGGACATCGGGTCAGGAGTCAGGGGCACCAGCAGGGCTGGGGGGAGCAGGGGGCTGCTGGTCGGGAGCATGGGGCACCAGCAGGGCTGGCTGGGGGCCTGTGGCCTGCGAGTGAGGGGCACCAGGGGGGACGGGGGACTCTGGATTGGGAGTGTGGGGCACAGTGCCAGGGGGCTGCAGATTGGGAGTGAGAGGTATCAGCAAGGATGGGGGGCTGTGGGTTGGGAGTGAGGGGCGCCAGCATGGTCTGGGGGCGAGGTACAGTGGGTCAGCAGTGAGGGGCAGAAGCAGGGCTGGAGGGGCTTTAGCTTGGGAGTGAGGGGCAGGGGCAGATCACGAAAATATCACTGCCCCCCCCCCCCCAAGCATAATACCACCACCCCTCTGACAGGGGTCCTCTTTTTTGAAACTAGAAATATGGTAACCCTGTGAATACTGTGAATCATCTGTTGGGATGGGCATGTAGGATCCCTAGATCCTGGTGGCTTTGATGTGTTTGTTGGCTTCAGTGATGGAAATATGTTGGTGGAAGGTTTTGCAGGTGTTGTTCTGGCAAACTCTGGTTCTGTTTGAGCGTGGTGCTTAGCAGGGAGTTTGCTTGTGATGATAAGTATGGTAAGATTGTTTGAAAACCAGAGGGAAGGCTGGGATACATTTTTTTCAAATGATATATAACCCTCTTCAAATACAGCTAGTAATTGCCTGGGTTATTTGTATACGTTCTAGTGCAGGATAGTATGTGCCAATAGATTTATAGTTGAGGTACCTATATGAAAAACAGCTCCTTATAGAAAGGTGAGGTCTATCATGACAGGTGGTTAGAAGCAGGCAAGTAGAAGGTATTAGCACTGTTATACGCCACACTTAATGACTACATCTGCTGATGTGCTTATAGCCATCAGTAACACATTACTTGTGTCTGTTACTTGCTTACACCAGATGTAATCCTCCATAAACCATTTGCAAATGTAGTTGGTACTAGAGTGGGTCATTCATTTTATCTGAAGGTTGACTTAGAAAAATACTGTGCCTACCTTTTCCCACATAGGAGTTAAGTTCCCCATCAGAAGGTGACACTTCTGGAGATACAGTAGAGTAGACTGTGCCCTCTCCTCCTATCTTCAAGACTGTGTCTGCAGATGACATTATAAAGATATTAGACTTTCATGAAGACAGAAGGTTGTTTGTGTGTCCCAAAGTTCAGGATGTCAGTCCACAACATGAGCAAACTCTTCTAAAACATGTGCAGATTCTTGCTGGACAGACAATTTTGTCCCAGGCTGAATAGTATGAGTGAGACCGGCTTGTGAGTATGCTCAAATTGCCTCTCTGGGTCAGCGATCTACCTGGTGAGATGCTGTTGTGAGGGATTCATACAGGGATCACTGACAGATCTGCATCGGTAACCCAGCCCGACCACATGGCCCTGGGGAAATGCCGAGCCGAAGATGGCCGCAAACGAGAACAAAGATGTGCCGCAAGTTATAATGGAAAATGAACTCGATTCATTTGGCACTTGCCTTTGTTGGCTGTCCTGGCAGGAGCATTTTCCGTGGGTCTCTCTTTTGAGTTTGCAGAGTGGGTATCTGCAGGGGCTCTGGTTGTTCCCTCTACTGTGAAAGCAGGCTCCATAAATCCTGAAAGCACATTTGCAATGAAATAATCTTTTACCCCTCTCTGCTTAGATTGGAAGGAATAATAAAAGCAGGAAGGAGAAATACCAAGGCAAACAACAGGCCCCTTGTAGCTGGGTGGCAAATTGACCTCCACAACAGTAGGATGCCATCATAATCCCAGAGCACAGGTGCAGACTACCACAGGTGGGAAGAAGACCCGAGAGAAATGGCATTTGAAGCAGAAGGCCAGAGCATTCCTGCCCTGGTTCATTTCGTTGTACCCTAATCTAGCAAAAAGAGTTGTGCTGGTTAAAGACAGCAAAGAAGTAACCTCTTCCTGTTATACGTTTAAAAGTGTCCATGTTGTGCTTGGATGGTAAAGGATTCTCTCAGTTATACAGAAGCGGAAGATGTGCCGGCCATTAGCTAGTTTCCTGGTTAATTGCTCAAAAAACTCTTTATCTGTCAGTGGGCAGAGATTTTTTGGGCCTTTCTGGTCTATTTGTTTAGGGGAGGGTGCTGGTTTTTGAATACTTGGTTCTTAAGAAATTGCTTGAAACACAAATATTATTCAACAACAACAACAAATATCCAACAACAACAAATAGCAATAGATAGTAAATAGTGGCAACAATAACAACACAATAGCCACTAACCTATACCCATTTTACAGAAAAAAACTGAGGTGATAACATGAAGTTGATGTCAACAGGTACTCTGCAGTGTCAAGTGAAGACCTCTGACATTGCTCTGAATGAGCTTGAGTACTTGAAGCTATATAGCCACTTTAGCACTGTGCTGTGCTTAGACTAATATACCCTGTTCTTAGTTTGGCTAATAATCCAGGCCATAGTCCACCCTACCATGGCTCTTCTACTTCCGATAGCTCTGGATGCATTAGCTCTGGTATCCGTGCACAGCACTGTATTGTAATATGGAGAGACGCCCACTATGGACAATACAAAGGATAGCAACTGAATCATAGATAGCACCAGTGTGAAACTCATAGTTTCATAGTTTCTAGGGTCAGAAGGGACCTGAGTAGATCATCTAGTCTGACCCCCTGCCATGGCAGGAAAGAGTACTGCGGTCAAACGACCCCAGCAAGGTGTTCATCTAACCTCTTCTTCAAGACCCCCAGGGTAGGAGCCAGCCACTTCTCTTGGAAGTTGGTTCCAGGTCCTAGCCGCCCTGACCATAAAGTAGCGCCTCCTGATATCTAGCCTAAATCTTCCCTCTACCAGCTTGTGACCATTATTCCTGGTCACTCCTGGCAGTGCTCGGGGGAACAGGGACTCCCCCAATGCCTGCTGGTCCCCCCTGACTAGTTTGTAACAGGCCACTAGATCCCCCCTCAGCCTTCACTTGTGCAGGCTGAACAGGTTCAGGTCCCATAGCCTC